TCCACGAAAAGGCATAGAAAAAGGGCTTAAAGCAGTTCAGGATAAAATACTAGACTTGATCGGTTCCCTGGCAAAAATATTATATTTTGCAGACCTGGCCCTCACCCAAGACTCACCTCTAGAAGCTCATGATGTGAGGGAATGGGTGCAAAGAGCAATATGCATGCTGTGAAACACAAATGCAGCCATGTGCGTGGAATGGCGCAAAGCAGCCCTATTAAAAATGGATTCCAAGCTATTGTAGTTGGGGAAGAAAGAACTAGGCCCTCTGGTGGATGGGCTGTTTGGAAAGCCATTTATCGAAGAGCTCAAGAAACACATGGGCCTTTATACCACCCTGAACAAGGCGCAGGTTTCCATCAGGAAATTCTTCCGTAACCCTACACTGAGACGGATTTTCTTTTGGTAGGCCTGGTCGGCAGAGGGGCCGGGCCACCAGCTGCTTCTCGTCCTCGGGCCCCAGACATCAACCCACACCTCAACCCTTCTTCTCATCCTCAAGAGCCACCTTCACAAGGGATTCTTCTGTGCAAGGTGCACTAGAGGCAGAGGTCATGGACGCTTCAATTCAGGTGAGCCTGCCTCTCCCACTACTTTGTCAGTCAGGTATAACCGCAGGCAGGTTGCCTCTCTTTCCACAGAACTGGGAAGCCATCTCCACGGATGCCTGCGGCCTACATAGCTCACACATTGCCGACTACTCGGGTGGAGGATTTCATTATTCTCCACCCTGGATAAAAATAAAAAACATTGCGGCTGGGGTTAGTGTACGGCAGGGGAGGGGCTAAATGATGGTGGGGTGGGGCTAGAAGTGCCAGGTAATTGCTGCATGGGAAGCAGGAAGGAGTCCATGCTTCCCCAACAACCAGAATCCAAGAGCTGCACTACTTCCACCTCCATAATGAATAGAGGTAACTATGTGTGATTGTCTGCCTGTGTGGAACTGTATGCCTGTGTGTGACTGTCTGTGTGTGCCTATCTGCCTGTGTCTGTGTGTGTGTGCCTATCTGCCTGTGTCTGTGTGTGTGTGTGTGTGACTGTCTGTGCGTGTGTGACACTGTATAAGTGGCTATATGTAAGTGACTGTCCATTTGTATCTGTGTGTGTTTGTAATTGTCTGCCTGTAACTCTGTGTGTGTGTGACTGTTTGCCTGTAACTCTGTGTGTGTGACTGTTTGCCTGTAACTCTGTGTGTGTGACTGTTTGCCTGTAACTCTGTGTGTGTGATGAATATTCATTTTTAAATCATTTTTAATTTAATAAATCCCCTATATAATCACAACACTTCTATACACACTTTACATGGATGACAGGGGGGGCGCTGTGAAGATGTTTCACACAGGGCACCTAAAAGCCTAAGGCTGGCCCTGCTCATAGACAAGGAGATTCGAGCCCTGTTGGCCAAAGGAGCCATGGAGTTTGCTCCAGACGATCAGGGCTATTTCAGCAACATTTTTGTAGTAAGAAAGAAGATGGGAGACTATTGTCCAGTCATCAACCTGCGCCAACTTGATGGATTTGTGGTGTACCGGCACTTCAAGATGGAAGGTATCCATCTCTTACAGGATATACTCCTCGAAAACAACTGGTTCATATGGTTGGATCTGAAGGATTCTTATCTATTGGTTCCCATGGTGCAAGTAAGTCTCTCCTTCCTTCGCTTAACTCGGAAAGATCGACCTTGCCAGTTCCTATGTCTACCTTTCAGCCTCAGCTTGGCCCCATGGTGTATCACGAAGCTTCTGAAGCTAGTCATAGCACACTTGAGAGCAAGGGGTATCCACTGTCTCATATACCTGGACGACTTGCTGATTTTTTGTGAATCCAATTCCAGACTACAATAACAGATGAGATTTATAAAACAGTTTCTGGAATCGTTGGGGTACGTAGTGAACAGAGAGAAGTCGGCTCTGTCCCCGTCCCGAGTGATTCAGTTCCTCGGCTTTGAAATAGATTCCACCTCGTGTGCATTGCGCCTTCCCACATCAAAGATAGCGGCGATTCGGAAGGAAATTTGGCGTGTACTCCGAAAAGATACCATGCCTCTTCGTCTACTAGCAAGGATTGTCGGACTGCTCTCATCCTCCATCCAAGTGATTTTTCCAGGTCCACTTCACTACCGGGCCATGCAGCAGCTGAAATCCCACTACCTGAGATCCGGACACACATACGACCATTGGGTGCCGGTCCCCGCAGAGGTACAAATGGAACTTCGTTGGTGGCTCCTTCAAATGGAAGCCTGGAACTGTAGAGTCTATGGAGCTGGGGAGCCCATTGCACTCACGCCTCCACGGGAGGTCCATGGTCGGAGGAGGAGCCGGGTCTCCAAATCAACTGCCTGCAATGGATTGCGGGTTCCTTTGCAATCCGCAGTCTGGCCAAAAACATGTCCAATTGCTGCATACTCCTACGCATGGACAATGTTTCAGCGGTTCAATATATAAACCGCTTGGGAGGAGCCCGGTCATGCGCACTGACTGAAGCAACAAGGGACTTTTACCGCTTTGGTCTTCCCCGCAACATTACAATCAAAGCGGAGTATTTGCCGGAGATCAACAACCTCACTGTGGACTGGTTCTCCCAACACTTGAGGGATGGCAGCGACTGGTGTCTGGATACCTCGATATTCTCCATGGTGAGAGCACACAGGGGCCCGCTACTCATAGATCTTTTCACATCCCAGACGAACACACAACTACCAAGATACTACAGCTGGCTCCCGGATCCACAGTGTTAAGCGGTGGATGCGTTCCTACAACCATGGCCCCCAAAGGGAGCATATGCATTCACACCATTCTCAATGGTGGCGAGGGTACTCCATCGGATCAGAGTATCGAAGACCTCAATGGTACTCATCACACCGTTATGGAGGAGTCAAGCGTGGTTCCCAGACTTGTTGGCTCTGACTCTGCTCCTTCCAGTGTTCCCCTTCCTTCTGACAGACCCAAAAGGGGTACCTCATCCTTTGATAATGCAGGAGCGTCTGGAGTTGGTGGCTTGGAGTCTTTCAGGGGAGCCTGGAATGTTGAGGGACTATCGCAATCTTGGGCACCAGGTACTCAACAGAGTTACATATCCGCTGGTCTATGGGAAGGAACTGCGATCCCTTTACTGCTCCTATCTCCACGGTGTTGAACTTTTTATCACACTTTTTTGTTACGGGCCTATCATACCATTCCATTAACGTGGTACATTCCGCGATTTTGGCAGCATATGTTCCGATTCACGGCACTCCAGTCAGTCAGGATCCTTTGATATGCCACCTACTGTGGAAAGCAATGCTTACATGGAAAATGAATAACAGTGTTTCCCATAAAATATAAAAGAGAATCAAAAATAGATGTGAAGAAAACCTCATAGTTGTCAACAGTTGCAAGTTTGCCAGGACAGTCTTGCATTTTATAGATGTTTCCTCCAACAAAAATAGATATCAAAGAAATGTCTCGCATTTTGAAATCGGACAGCAGTATTCAAAGTGTGGAAGGGGGCTGGGAATAAGATAAGGCCGGATTTACCCTCCTTGCTATCCCAAGGCCAGTTTCCTTAATACAGCCCTGCAGTTCCTTCAATTATATATATTTATTATTGGCAGAATATAAAATTACTATAATACATGCATTAATATAAATTTATATTATACACAAACACACATACAATACATATAGACAGTACTATAAACAGTCATATACGAATATACATGCCTACATATATACACAGAAAAAAGTAATGAACTGGAAGCAAGGGAATACACTCGTGTAGGGGTTAACCCTAGAGGAACTACAGTAGTAGTGAAAAGGAAAAAGGAAAAATGAGTGCCCTTATGTATTAAAATATAACTTAATAGTATAGTTTAAAAAAACAACTAATATGAGACTCAGTGGCAACAACCACTCATCGGTGTGTTGTTCCATGCCCGTCCACAGCTCCTGCGCGGTGTGGGGTTTTTCCACCAAACATATGAGTTTGAAAACAGCCTGCTGTCGTTTCCCCCTGGCTGTGCTGAAGTTGGTGGTGAAGGTGTTACACTGACCGAATGAGGAGGTGGTAGGAGGAGGAGGAGGAGGAAGAAGCGGAGTTGGAGGAGGAGGCAACAGGAGGCAAAGCTGTGTACCCAAATAAAGATTGTCAAACATTGTATCCTGGAACTGTGTGCCATCCGGTTACTGGGGAAATGGGTCTAACCTATTCTAATCAAAAAGGGATAACCATCGGTTACCCAGGTCCAGCTTCAATTGGTGGCAAGCGGCGCGATCCAATGTCCCTGCCAACAGACCCATGGACTACAGTGCTCTAAAGCAACCTACACTGCAGGACTTGTGTCGAGCCAGAGGAATAACGCCTAGTGGGCGTAACAAGGCCGAATTGACTGCTGCACTCATGGAGGACGACCAGGCATGCAGTGAGGCAACGAACCCCAGCTAGGGGCTGAAAATGAGGAGGAAATGCGCAAGGAGTGTAACGGCACCTGGCATATTACTGAGAGCCACCCTCAGAGGAGATTGTCAGCAGGACCTTTTTGGAGGTGCAAGCCTAAGTCCTTGCCAATATACATAGGGCGACCTCCATGAACCCAGATGAAGGAAGAAGGGAGCAGAGGGCGCCGGGAAGCACATCCACCCTGGCCCACAAGCTACCATACAATGCCTTCAAAGACTTCAAGGAAGTAGAAGAAGGCATCGATGACTATTTACAAGACTTTGAGCACCTGTGCCTACTCCAAGACGTAGACCCCAGCGACTGGGTCACCATCCTGGCCAGCAAACTAGTGGGAAAGGCAGCGCATATTTACCGGGCTTTACCAGAAGAGCAGATCAGAGACTATCCCTTTATTACACAAATAATCCTGGCCCGGTATGCGGTCACCCCCGAGCAATTCCGCCGAAAGTTTAGGAAGACCCGGAAAGGGGAGAAGGACTCTCATGCAGACTGGGCATGCCGCATCACAAGGGCCACCCAGAACTGGCTCAACTCCCATCAAGCCAAGTTCCCGGAGGAGATCACCCAGCTTGTCATGCTAGAGCACTTTTTCAATGGGCTGCCCAACGACAAGGCAACGATGCATTCGTATGTCATCCATATCAACTTTCGATGCCACTTTCTGTGCCTACCATGGTGACCACGGGTAACGGAGAATCAGGGTTCGATTCTGGAGAGGGAGCCTGAGAAACGGCTACCACATGCAAGGAAGGCAACAGGTGCGCAAATGTCCCACTCCCGACGCGGGAAGGTAGTGACGACAAATAACAATACAGGACTCTTTAGAGGCCCTGTAATTGTAATGAGTCCACTTGAAATCCTTTAACTCTGATCAATTGGAGCGCAAGTCTGGTGCAGAGCATCTGACCCGTGTGTGCTGCAGCTGAAACTCCACTATCGCCTGCTGCTGCTCGCTGAAGCTGCATCAGGGTCCTGGTATATGGCCACACAAATGCTGGTGCTCAACACCAGGGGGGGTGCAAATCTAAAAACAGTGTATAGAAGGCGCTTCACAGTTTATAGCAGAAAAAATAAATCTAGTACCAGCAGCTAGAACACCGTTAGTGGATTTCCCAATACTCCACTTTAGTACAAAATGTAAACACAAAAACGGACTCCTAGGTCTGGGTGATAATCCCACCACCTAACATTTAGAGACCCAAGGTGCAGCGGTTGGATAAATTACACTTACCCCTTAGTTGTATATAGGGTTTTTTCTAATATGTATATAGGGAAAACAAACAGAGAGAGAATATAATAGTGCAATATTGTATTACTAACGATGGACAAATAAATTCAAAAGAATATGTCCACACACACATTTTTCTGAGCCTTTTTCGATATCGATTCAGAACAACAGGTAGATCTGGAATTTCAGATATACCAGAAAACCTTCTTTGGTGTATTCACTCCCCCGTTGTAGAGATAGAGATAAACAAAAAAAATAGAGCAAACAATCTAGGTGACACTGATTTTTACAGACATCAACTATACTGCATTAGATACCCTGCACCACACCCTGCTAATCCATTCCACACTGTGACTCCTAACTTCAACATCAGGCATACTGGGTCCAGGTCGTCCGACCGCCGCCCAGACAGTGTCTGGGTCCCGGTCACCAGTCTGTTGTCCTGACTGTGAAACTGAGAACGGCTCATTAAATAAGTTATGGTTCCTTTGATCGCTACATCTGTTACTTGGATAACTGTTGGAATTCTAGAGATAATACATGCCGACGAGCGCTAGGGGACGGCCGCTCCGCTTTTGCATCCTGCTCCCTCTTATGCTGATGTAGTAAATTCGAATCAAAGTTCCATTTGTCCAAAAAAATTCTCGCCACCTTCTGTGGGTTATTGCATTTTTAAGATGTAGACTAATTGTATCACACTAGCCATGCACAGGTAAATTGTCTGGAATGTTGTTTTGGTGTTTGGTTTTTAACTTTGTAGTTGTGTCTTTACACAATATGAAATGTATATTAATGCTTCTGTATATGAAGCGATCACAATAACACTTATTTTTCACTTAAAAAAAAAAAAATCAGGCTAAACAAAAAATTGGTAATTAACAATATGACATCTGAAAAGCACATGAAAGAATGCTGTATGATTTAAAAAAAAAAAAAAAAAAGAACACACTACATAAGTTCCTGATCACTAGAGTGTGTAGTCATGAATGTAACCAGTCAAACTTTGTTTTTACAGCCACTGGTTGGCCAATACATATTTTACAACTTGTTTAATTTTGTTACAGCATGACTTGTAGTCTTGTTTTTAACTTGTCTATAATACATATTTTTGTATGACACTTAGTGTGTTTTTTCATTGATTATTGAATTTTAATGGTCTAAGATAATTAACATGTTAACAGGCAAACGTAACCCAAATGATTTGTCTCAGTCTTGCCTTCTATACTACCTGCACCATAGGCAACATTTATTTGTCTTTACACTTTCTTAAGAAGCGGTAACTAGCCAGTGTTGCACACATACACCAGATATGAAGTGCACACTCCAAATGTACTATTTAGCACCAAAACAATTAGAATGTTTCAAACTGCGCTGTAAGCGCAGTATTTGACGCTTCTATTTGACTCTCAGATATGAAGAGCACACCCCAAATGTACTTCTTAGGAGCAAAAAAAAAAATGGGAATTTGTCAAAGTGCGGTGTAACCGCAGTATCTGACGCTTTTATTTGACTCTCAGATATGAAGTGCAGGCCCCAAATTTACTATTTAGCAGATTAGCACCCAGAAAATAAGAATGTTTACAATTGTGCTGTAACTGCAATATTTGACGCTTCTATTTGACTCTCAGATATGAAGTGCAGGCACCAAATCTACTATTTAACAGTTTAGCACCAAAATAATTAGAATTTTTACAACTGCGCTGTAACCACAGTATTTAACGCTTCCATTTGACTCTCAGATATGAAGTGCACCCCACTAATGTGCTTTTTAGCCCCCAAAAATATTTGAATTTTGAAAACTGCAATGGCACAGCAGTATTTGACGCTTCTATTTGACTCTCAGATATGAAGTGCACCCCACTAATGTACTTTTTAGCACCCAAAACATTTTTACGTTTTAAAACTGCAATGTGACAGCAGTATTTGATGCTTCTATTTGACTCTCAGATATGAAGTGCACACCCCAAATGTACTATTTAGCACCCCAAAAAAAAAATTGACTTTTTAAAACTCCGATGTAACCACAGCATTTGACGCTTCTATTTAATTGACTTTTTAAAACTCAGATGTAACCACAGTATTTGACGCTTCTATTTGACTCTCAGATATGAAGTGCACCTCACTAATGTACTACTTTGCAGAATTCTTTCTTAATCTGTCCCTGAAAGCGGCAGCATCCTCTCCCTACACTAATAAGACCTCATGTGATGTGCGGCGCTACGTGACTCCAGCTTATATATAGAGGCTGGGTCACATGCTGCAGTGGCCAATCACAGCCATGCCATTAGTAGGCATGGCTGTGATGGCTTTTAAGGGCACACGAGTCAAACGCTTGTTGATTGGCTGCCCTGCGGCCTTTCAAAACGAGCCATTAAATCGCCAAACACCGAACTCCAACCCGAACATACACTGATATGTCTGTGTTCGGGTCCGGGGTCCAAAAAAAGTAATGTTCGGTACACACCCGAACTTTACAGTCCGGGTTCGCGCAACTCTACTTATACCTAAATATTCACTGATTGTCACGCATGTTAAATTTTATTATTATTATCATCATCATAATAAATTATATTTTTATAATTAATTGGTGAAGTAAAATCTTCTGGTGAAACTTACTCTAGGTTATAAGAGAATTAAAATAGTGGGTAATTCTCAGTTTTAAATAATTAATTGGGAAAACCGTGCCAAGATATCAGTTTGTTATATAATAAAAATCTAATTAATTTTTGATAATTTTTATGAAAATATTATTTTAATATGTATCACCTCATAAATAAACCAAGAATATCTCTATCAATATATGGTCAATACATTAGTCCCTCCCTCTAACATTTATCTATGACTTGTATATGAGGTCATAATAAGGCAAGCCATTACATCACCAAAGCCTTTTGGGCATTTAACAGACTTGAGCTGCATTTGGAAGATAAGCCTGATCAAGGAGTAAGTACTATGTCAGCTATACATTGTTTTATTATAATAACTGCTTACGGTCAGGATTACTGTATGATCCAGCACGTAGAATTGTGTTACACAGATGACTAACAGGTAGCGTATTACCAGGCCTTAGAATGGCCGGACTAAACGTACCAAAGAATAGTCAGGGCGCTAGCCGAGGTCAGGGGGTACAACAATAAAGGAAAGCCAGAGGTCAGGGATACCAGAAATACAGGGAAGTCAAAATCAAAGCCAAAGTAAAAAACCTGAATAAACTGAATCAGAAACACGCTCTCGGACAACAACTAGGGAAACCACGACAGGGCAATGAGGAAAGGCAATTCTAGGTTTCTATACCTGCTTTACCATTAAAGGACCACTATAGTGCCAGCAAAACATATGCCCTGAGGGTGCCCCCACCCTCAGGGTCCCACTCCCGATGGGCTCTATGGGGGGGAAGGGGTTAAACTTCTCCAGCGCCCGGCGGGGGACTCTCCTCTTCCTCTCCTTCTCTTTGGCTGAATGCGCATGCACGGAAAGAGCTGCGCGCGCATTCAACCAGTCTCATCGGAAAGCATTCACAATGCTTTCCTATGGACGCTGGCGTCTTCTCACTGTGATTTTCACAGTGAGAAGCGCGGAAGCGCCTCTAGCGGCTGTCAATGAGACAGCCACTAGAGGCTGGATTAACCCTATTATAAACATAGCAGTTTCTCTGCTATGTTTATAGAAAAAAGGGTTACACCTAGCTGGACCATGCACCCAGACCACTTCATTAAGCTGAAGTGGTCTGGGTGCCTATAGTGGTCCTTTAAGATTGGCCGGGAACGCTCTTTGACCCCAAAAAGTGTGCCGACGTCGTTAATCACGTGAGCGGATTTGGGGGTATAATTAGCCTTGGATCCGCAGGGGCCGGCGTCCATTAACATGCTGCAAGTGTCATTCATGCAGATGCACGGCCGCTGAACCCAAGGTGAGGATGAATATGTTACACTTACTAAGAATCTGTGCTTTACAGCTTCACGTGGCAGGCTTACTGTGGTATATTGTTGAACAGCTATTGTCTGATACGTAAAATTATATAATTTTTTTTGTTTTTATGCTTTGTTGTTCTCTGTAGTATATTTTTCACATATTGTCACTGATAACTGGTCTTGTCTTTTGTCTTTTACAGCCTCTCCTCAGCTTACACACTATGCATTCTGTGAGCCAGCACTGGCTGCAACTGATGAGGACTTTTCATTATAATATTAGTTTCCTGATGTACAAAATGACTTATTGCAGCTTACTATTTTGATGATGGCAGACCTTTTACAGTTGTACATGAAATATTATTCGGTAGGAGGTATACGCTGTATACTATACAATAGAATTAGGAACAATTACAATTCTCCTCCTGCGAACTGGGCTCCAATCGGTTTCCCGTGGTGTACAATTCTCACAAAAAATGTTTGAAAGCAATAATGTCTTAAAGGACCACTATAGTGCCAGGAAAACAAACGCGTTTTCCTGGCACTATAGTATTAATAGGTCCCCCCCACCCTCATGGCCCCCCTCCCGCCGGGCTGAAGGGGGAGGAAGGGGTTAAATCCCTTACCTTTCTCCAGCGCCGGGCTCCCTCGGTACTGGTGATT